TTTACCTGTCAGTACACATGACATTTCACCTGTCAATACATGACATTTCACCGGTCAGTACACATGACATTTCACCTGTCAATACATGTGACATTTCACCTGTCAATACTCATGACATTTCACCTGTCAATACATGACATTTCACCTGTCAGTACATATGACATTTCACCTGTCAATACACATGACATTTCACCTGTCAATACATGACATTTTACCTGTCAGTACACATGACATTTCACCTGTCAATACACATGACATTTCACCTGTCAATACATGACATTTCACCTGTCAGTACATATGACATTTCACCTGTCAATACACATGACATTTCACCTGTCAATACATGACATTTTACCTGTCAGTACACATGACATTTCACCTGTCAATACATGACATTTCACCGGTCAGTACACATGACATTTCACCTGTCAATACATGTGACATTTCACCTGTCAGTACACATGACATTTCACCTGTCAATACTCATGACATTTCACCTGTCAATACACGTGACATTTCACCTGTCAATACTCATGACATTTCACCTGTCAATACATATGACATTTCATCTGTCAATACACGTGACATTTCATCTGTCAATACATGTGACATTTTACCTGTCAGTACACATGACATTTCACCTGTCAGTACATATGACATTTCACCTGTCAGTACATATGACATTTCACCTGTCAATACACGTGACATTTCACCTGTCAATACACGTGACATTTCACCGGTCAGTACACGTGACATTTCAACCTGTCAGTACACGTGACATTTCAACTCTCAGTACATATGGCATTTCACCTGTCAATACACGTGACATTTCACCTGTCAGTACACGTGACATTTCAACCTGTCAGTACACGTGACATTTCAACCTGTCAGTACACGTGACATTTCACCTGTCAGTACACGTGACATTTCACTTGTCAGTACACGTGACATTTCACTTGTCAGTACACGTGGCATTTCACCTGTCAGTACATGTGACATTTCACCGGTCAATACGCGTGACATTTCACCTGTCAGTACACGTGACATTTCACCTGTCAGTACACGTGATATTTCACCTGTCAATACACGTGACATTTCACCTGTCAATACTCGTGACATTTCACCTGTCAGTACACGTGACATTTCACCTGTCAGTACGCGTGACATTTCAACCTGTCAGTACACGTGACATTTCACCTGTCAGTACACGTGACATTTCACTTGTCAGTACACGTGACATTTCACTTGTCAGTACACGTGGCATTTCACCTGTCAGTACATGTGACATTTCACCGGTCAATACGCGTGACATTTCACCTGTCAGTACACGTGACATTT